TATTGTAAATATTATAAATAAAAGAGTTGGTAAATGTGTTGAAATTTATGGTGTTGAAAATTGTAGAAAATATATGCAAATTTGACGCTACTAAAGATTATTTTAGTGTTGTAGAGAATAAGACGACAGTTACGGTACTTGCATGTTAAGAATTAATTATGAATGTTAATGTAGAGAACGTGTAAAAATAATAATTATCTTCTTTAAAAGTATTTTCTTGTCATCATTATTACATCAGTTACTTGAAATTATTCAGAGTTGTGAAGAAAATATAATTTGGGTACGAAAAAGTATGTAGTAGTTCTTGATGCAGTGAACTTTTGAATAAAAAATATATACTTGAGGAAATTTTACGTAGATTTTTTTTTATAAAGAATATGTCAACATTTTAAAGCTACCCTACCTTAAACGCCGTGTGTGTGTGTGTGTGTGTGTGTGTGTGTGTGTGTGTGTGTGTGTGTGTGTGTGTGTGTGTGTGTGTGTGTGTGTCCGGCAACAGTTTCAAAGATAGACTTGCCTCCCACCCAAAAGTGACAGTATTGTACAGCTGAGAGTGCCATCACGGACATGAACTAGGAGGTGCCACGCCGGGTACCTTTGTTAATCAATTATAATTACGTAAACTTCAAAATCCCTCAAAATATTGTCGCTTAATGAACAAATAATTAATCGGAATCTCATTTACTTTTCTCTCTTTCACCTGACGAGTTTACTACTTAATTCTACATAATTCTCAGTAAATACTACGAGCATTAATTATAACTCTGTCAGCAAAGGTTATTAGAAGGATTGTACTTGGGTAAACGGTGTGAGGGGTAAGACAGTGGTACTCGGTGTTTGAGGACCAGCCGTCACAATAGAAACAAAAACAGAACGTTTATCCGGACTAAACAGGAACACGTACCCAAGTAATCCACGGTGTGTGTGTGTCAACAGTGGGAGGGAGGGAGGCTATATACTAGGGGGGTTGGGGGAGCAAGGGAGAGCTAAGGTGAGAATGGGGGAGAAGGGGAGAGGGGAGCTAGGGGTAGGTAAGATATGAACGAGAGAGTGGATAGAGAGGGAGAGAGGAGGAGGGAGATAAGAGAACGGAGAGAAGGAGGCAGGAGAGGAGGTTGGGAGGTAAGGAGGAGGGAGAGAAGGAGGCAGGAGAGGAGGTTGGAAGGTAAGGAGGAGGAGAGAAGGAGGCAGGAGAGAGGAGGTTGGGAGGTAAGGAGGAGGAGAGAAGGAGGCAGGAGAGAGGAGAATGGGAGAGATAAGAGGAGGGAGAGAGGAGGCAGGAGAGCAGGAGAGAGAGGTTGGGAGGTAAGGAGGAGGGAGAGAAGGAGGCAGGAGAGGAAGTTGGGAGGTAGGAGGAGAGAAGGAGGCAGGAGAGAGGAGGTTGGGAGGCAGGAGGAGGAGAGTAAGGAGGAGGGAGAGAAGGAGGCAGGAGAGGAGGTTGGGAGGTAAGGAGGAGGGAGAGAAGGAGGCAGGAGAGGAAGTTGGGAGGTAAGAAGGGAGGGAGAGAAGGAGGTAGGAGAGGAGGTTGGGAGGTAAGAAGGAGGAGAGGAGGAGGAGAGGAGGTTGGGAGGTAAGGAGGAGGAGAGAAGGAGGCAGGAGAGGAGGTTGGGAGGTAAGAGGAGGGGAGAAGGAGGCAGGAGAGGAGGTTGGGAGATAAGAGGAGGGAGAGAAGGAGGCAGGAGAGGGGAGGTTGGAAGGTAAGGAGGAGGGAGAGAGAAGGAGGCAGGAGAGAGGAGGTTGGGAGGTAAGGAGGAGGGAGAGAAGGAGGCAGGAGAGAGGAGGTTGGGAGGTAAGGAGGAGGGAGGCTGAAGAGGGCCAGTGTCAAGGGCATGGGGAGGTTAGTTGTCTTAAGTGATGTTTTATTTATTTGTGTATGTGTGTCTGTGTACGTGTTTGTTTGTGTACGTTTGAGTATATGTTTCTGTACGTGTGTTTTGGTGTATGTTTTTATACCTGTGTGTGTGTGTGTGTGTGTGTGTGTGTGTGTGTGTGTGTGTGTGTATTTGCTTTTGTATATGTTTGTGAATAAATTGATCTTCATAATTTAACGTTACACAACAGTCTTTACAATGGTACATTTGAGGTCTACTTCCTGTCCAGGGCTACCACACACACACACACACACACACACACACACACACACACACACACACACACACACACACACACACACATATCATCGGGAGCCACAGATACACAGGGGAAATGGTCCAACTTCTCCACCTCCCGCCGTCTCTTTCTTGACCAAAATAACTTGTCTCCCTCACAGAAAAATACACTACAGACGCCCCAGCTAAATATTTCCCCCGGGACACACACACACACACACAGCCGAGGTGAAGTGTATTCTTTGACTTTCATTATTGGTATTGTGTTTTTATCTTTGTCAAGGTGTCTGTTATGTAATTATCGAGCAGGTGAGGTGGGAAGTAAATTTATTATTATTATTATTATTATTGTTGTTGTTGTTGTTGGTGTTGTTGTTGTTGTTGTTGTTGTTGTTGTTGTTGTTGTTGTTGTTGTTGTCGTCGTCGTCGTCGTCTTAGTAGTTCCACGTGAAATAGGTGAAAGAAAATCGAATTTCACGAGTCTGTTGAAACAATAAGAAATGAAGCTCAATAAGGTCTACACGAAACAGGTAGCGAGGGAGGCGACATGGCGAGGGAGGGGGCGACATACCTGGCGAGGGAGGGGCCGACATACCTGGCGAGAGAGGGGGCGACATACCTGGCAAGTGGGGGGCGAGACATACCTGGCGAGGGAGGGGGCGACATACCTGGCGAGGGAGGGGCCGACATACCTGGCGAGAGAGGGGGCGACATACCTGGCAAGTGGGGGGCGAGACATACCTGGCCTGGCGTCATACCTCTAAGCCTCACCGTCACAAAGAGGGTGAAGAGCCTTTGAACAGCACCGCTCTGCTTACATAAACATTACGTCCCGGATAACCTGGTGTAGCGGTCTGGGGGAGGGAGAAGAAATATATTACTTGGACATGTTGTGAGAGCGTCTGGTGAAGGAGATGGCTGTGTCTGTACGACTGTTTATCATTGGGTGAAGATAGAGAGTAGAGAGAGGGAGGGAGGAGGGAGAGAGGAAGGAAGGAAGGAAGGAAGGAAGGAAGGAAGGAAGGGAGAGTCGTAGTATTATTAATTACCCCCAAATTATTGGAGTTTGATATGACTTTTAATCATTAGTTGATATATAGATTATAGGGAATAATTATCATAGTATAGGGAGTGATAGGGAGGGATGGCCGTAGGATTATTAAGTATTAGGAATTATAGAGGATTTTATAGGAAGAAATTAATATAGTGTTCTTTATATAGAGGCCTTTAATTATACATAAACACAGGTACTAAATAACATCACTGAGAACAACTTATTATTAATATTTTGGTAAGAATTGTCGTGGTTTAATTTAACATTAACTACGTCTCTGTCATACATATTTTAAAACGAATAATATTTCCGGGTTAAACATTATTTATTATATTAAATATCCATCACTCTATGTAATGACGTTAATATTTAAACATCTCCCAGACGAGTATAAACATCATTGTCAACATACAGCTAAACACTCACAATGTTATTCTTAATGATGTTGAATGTTGAAGTTCTCATTCTTTATCTCATAAGTACAAGGAGAAGGAAAATTTGTCATTCTTAATGTTGTGTGTATGTTTCCTCCTCTTGCTGAGTCCATTAAAGCACAACTGGAAAATTCGTTAACAAAAAAACAAACAAGAAAACAAGAAAAAACACAAACAACGAAAATAATTGTTGATTGAGTTCAGGGGCATAACGTATATAAAAGTGTGAGGAGATTGACCCTTTGTTCCCTTTACCCCTTAGCCAGGACTTAGTGTACTACGGGTGGGTCCCCTTTAGGGTATAGTCTATTTTTTCCATTAAGGGTAACTTTATCGTAAATCTTAATGTACCCCTTACTGTATTTTTATACCTACACAAACTCGACTTTTCTTTACCCTTATTCTACCCTTATCTTCCTTAACCTATTCTTACTTAACCTTTACCTACCCTTACTTACCCTTAACCAACCCTTAACCTACCCTTATCTACCTTTATTTTACCCTAACCTACCCTTAACTCTTACCTACCTTTAACCTACCCTTAACCTACCCTTAACCTACCCTCACCTACCCTTAACCTACCCTTAACCTACCCTAACCTACCCTTACCCTAACCTACCCTAACCTACCCTTAACCTACCCTTAACCTACCCTTAACCTACCCTTAACCTACGCCTCTCACCCTCATTCATCACTTTACTCCCATCCCAGTCGAGTCTCAGTTCAATACATACGCCATTTTGTCCGTCCCCTTTGTGTGTGTTTTCTCGTAAATGGCTGAGTTAAGTGTGTTGTCTGAGTACCACTTAGTGAGGTGGAGTGGGGGATTGACTTAAGAGCTTTTGAAAATCTCTCTCTCACCACACACAAGACCCAGAATTCCCTGATCATCGCCAGTGGGCAGAAAACTTGCTTCCCTTAGATGAAAAATCACCATCTTCCTGTCATCATTTTGAACCGAGGCGCTGTGATTCACAGGGAGGAGGCGAAATCCACGGTTAGGTTTGGTTTGGTTAGGTTTGGTTTGGTTTGGTTAGGTTTGGTTTGCTAGTTTGGTTAGGTTTGGTTAGGTTTGGTTTGGTTTTGTTAGGTTAGGTTTGGTTAGGTTAGGTTAGGTTTGTTAGGTTAGTTTGCTAGGTTAGGTTTGGTTTGGTTAGGTTAGGTTTGGTTAGGTTAGGTTTGGCTTTGTAGAGGTTAAGTTTAGTCTGGTTAGTTAAAGTCAGGTTAGGCTGGTGTTAGGTTATGGTTAGGTTAGGTTAATTTATGGTTAGGTTAGAATTGGTTAGGTTATGGTTAGGTTAGGTTCAGTCATGTTAGATTTTTATTACGCAATGTTTCGGATAAATAAACCAGTTTTAAATAAGGAATGAACCGATCCACACAAGTCATACCCACAGGGAAAAGATGCAGATAAAAGGTCGACTTCCTGGTAATAAACTACGACCGCTAGCGTCTCTGTCTCTCACACAGAGTTAGGCACGACACAACAAAGGAACTCCTGGTCGTTTGCCTGCGAGAGAGAGAGAGAGAGAGAGAGAGAGAGAGGAAAATTGAAACAGCGATACAAGCACTATACACACTACAATATTATCCCCTACAATGTATCCCTCACCCCTGTTTATGGCACACACACACACACACACACACACACACACACACACACACACACACACACACACACACACACACACACACCTAACACACGAGTCACATGTCTATCATGCAAATTTTGCGAATGTGTAAAGTTGTTTCACAAGCACTTCTCTCTCCTTCCCTTACCCTTTTAGTCTTGGGTGGAGGGACAGCATCATCATCATCATTACCTGCATGGTGGGCCAAACTACTCAGGAAACAGATCGGACCTCTTAAAAAAAAAAAAAAACAGGACCTTCGTAATTTCAAACAGGAATATACGAGGCGTAAATTTTAATAGGATTTTTTTTTTACTACTGAGTTGAATGAGAAGCAAACAGTTACATAAATATTAAGGATTTTTATTTTTGTTTTTCATTAAGGGGGGGGGGAGGGTCTGGAAACTAGTGTATATAATTCCTGGGAGGTTAAAATACACTGTAGCGGTGACTAAAGAACTCTTGTTGGAGACTAGAAGGAATGATTGCCTAAACATGAAATAAATATATGATAAAACACTCCTTTCTTCCTTCCTTTATCTCTACTTCCTTCCTTCTTTCATTCTTTTTTCCTTCTCTTCCTTCTTTCATTCTTTTTCATCCTCCCTCCTTTCTTCCTACCTCCTCTGTTCCTTCTCTCTATTCATATCTTCCCTCCTCTTCTCCTTCCTTTCACTATTTCCCCCTCTTCCTTCTCTCCGCCCTTCCTTCTTCCTCCCTCTTCTTCCTTCCTCCACCACTACCACCACAGCAAATGCACAAGACGGTCTAGGTTGAGTCAATATTAACTCACTTGTTTGATGAGTCGAATTTTTTAAGGTTCTCGGTGAGTAGATGAAAACAAAAGAAGGAGGAAGGAAAGAAGAAGAAGGAAGAAAGAACGAAAGAAAAATAAAAGAAGGAATGAAAGAAGAAGAAGGAAAAAAGAAAAACAGAGAAAAAAGAAAAAAAAGAGAAGGAAGCAAAAAAGATGAAAAAAAAGATGGAAAGAAAAAGAAAAGAAGGAAGGAAAGAAGAAGGAAGCAGAAAGGAAAGAAGATGAAAAAGAGTCATTCTTCTGTCGTTGGGTTCATTATCCACGTTACCTTCCCCCTCTCAGTGTTGACTCTTACCTGTGTTTTGGTACTCAGGTGTGCTTGTTGATGAGTTGTGGCGTCATATAGAGTGCTAATGGGAGTGTAGAGGTGTTGCATTCTCTCTCTCTCTCTCTCTAGTTAATGATGTAATGTTGAGGCAGAATAAGACCCATGCCTCTCTCCTCCTCCTCCTCCTCCTCCTCCGACCCTCCTCCTTCTCCCCCCCCATCCTCCACTTCCTATCCCCCCCCTCCCTCTTCTTACCCACTACCACTCTCCCTCCAGCCATGTGACCTAGTGATGGGGAGGAGAAGACAGAAGAGTGAGCACTCGTGTGTGTGTGTGTGTGTGTGTGTGTGTGTGTGTGTGTGTGTGTGTGTGTGTGTGTGTGTGGAGCAAGACAGTCTATCAGGAGTCTTCAGTATAGAGCCTCAGGAACTAAGTCTCTTGATCCACAAACATTCGTAAGGTAAAAATATCTGCCTAAGAACCTTCTCTGATTGGCTAACTTTAATCTATAGGGAGATATGTGAACCAATCAGAACTCGTTATCCTGAGCTATGATGCAAAGACGGATTCTCAAAGGTTATTATTGGTCTCTTATTTGATACTATATTACCTTAAGATAATTCTCAAATATTCCTTCGATAAATTTCATCTCTAACTGGAAATATGATGACGGATCAATATTATCGTGAAAAGGAAAGATGGCGGCCAAGATGACGTTCAAATTACACTGAGACTATCATACCCAGATGAAGTCACCTAACCTAACCTAACCTAACCTAACCTAACCTAACCTAACCTAACCTAACCTAACCTCATTCAAAGGAAGAAATTCTCGTTTAAATTTTAAGGAGGCTGGATGCTATGGAGTCGCTATGGTGGATCTTACGACCGCCAAATAAGGAAGATCTTCTAATCCTCTTAACGTCTATAGCTCAGTCCAGGGGGCGTGTAGAGAGCCCTTGAGCCCTGGGGCGATCGGCTGGAGGGGCTTAATATGAGTCAGAGAGAGAGAGAGAGAGAGAGAGAGAGAGAGAGAGAGAGAGAGAGAGAGAGAGAGACTGAACCTCTCTCATCCTAACATGTTATCTTACTAACTTTATATCAAGCAATCACACTAATGTTACGTTTATATCCTACAATGTTATATAAGCAATTAATATTAAGTAATATATAGTTTATTACTGCTGTGGTTGGGTGAGGCGCCCCCAGTCGACCCAGTTGTAATGTCGGCCACACAGTCTCCTTATACACAGTGAAATTTTAGTGTTCAGTGTACTGTATCCACTCTGCCCCTAGATGGTCCTTCTTTGGTCGTCAATTAATTGTTTCAGTTTAGGAATTTCTACCTAAAGTGTTTTTTAAGGTTGTTTGGATTAGCATTTTCTTCTCCCTAATATCGTTGTAGGTGTTTTTTTTTATTCCTTCTGTTCTATTTTGAATTATCGTCTCTTTTATTTCCCTCCCTATTTTCCTCCAGTTTATCCTATTCCCTATTTATTTCTGTATTTCCATTTTTATTTCTTTTCTTAATTACTTTCCTTATCTCTTTATCTCTTTCCTTTAGTTTAGTCCTTATCTATTATTCATTAAATTTTCCTCGTCTTTAATTAATTCTCTTCTTTTCATCGTTATCCTTATTTTTTTCCTTTATCATCCTCCCTATCTCTACTCCTCCATCATCCCCCTCTCCCTCCTTCATCACATTCCTCGTCTCTCGTCATCATCGTCGTTTTCCTCACTCTCATAAGGTTCGTCCAGTGGAGGGAAGGAAGGAGGGAGGGGGGGAGGGAGGGAGGGAGGGACTCGCTCTTTAAAGACTCAGCCAGTGGAGAGAAAGTGGGAGGGAGGGAGGGGGGAAAAGAAAGAGAGGAAGAAAAAGAGGGAAAAAAGAGAGGGAGGGAAGAAGGGAAGGAGGAAAGGGGGGGAGGGACTCGCTGCCATAACTCTGAGGTCAGGAATCATTTTAACTGTTTTATGATCATTGTGTAAATTCCAATTGGCTGTTGAATGATTAATCGCCTCTTCCCTAATTAGCATCCAGTGGCCCGTCTCACAAGCAGGAGGAATGGTGATGGTGGTTGTGGTAGTAGTGGTTGTGAAGGTGGTGATGGTGTTAGTAGTGGTGGTGATGGTGTTAGTAGTGGTGGTGATGGTATTAGTAGTGGTGGTGTTAGTAGTGGTGGTGATGGTGTTAGTAGTAGTGGTGATGGTGTTAGTAGTGGTGGTGATGGTAAGAAGGTAGTAGTGGTGGTGATGGTGCTAGTAGTGGTGGTGATGGTGTTAGGGTGTTAATAGTAATGGATGTGCTGGTAGTGATGAAATTGTGGTTGGTGGTGATAGTGGTGATGGTGGTAGTGGTGATGATGGTGGTAGTGGTGATGATGGTGGTAGTGGTGATATAGATGGTTGAGGACGGGTGGTGTAATGGACGAACAGGTGGTGGTGACGGGATGGGAAGGGGAAGGAAATGGAAGAGGAGTTAAAAATGGTTAAAAGGAACAAGAAACAAGGTGGGAAAGGAAGAGGAGATAATTACAATATGTGGGAAAAGGAATGGGAGATGGAAGAGACGGAAAAGGGCAGTGAACAATGTCATACAGAAGGAGAGGAAGAGGGAAAGGGAGAGGAGAACTGTTGGAGGAGCTAATGGTGAGAGAGAGGGAGAGAGAGGGAGTACTAAAATGATAGGGAATGGAAGGGTGAGAGGGAGACGGAGTGAGATACGAAGAGAAGGAGTAATAATGTGGGAAGTATTAAGAGAAGGAAGAAAAGAAGGAGAAATAAAGGATAAAAGGAAAATTGAGAGAGAGAGAGAGAGAGAGAGAGAGAGAGAGAGAGAGAGAGAGAGAGAGAGAGAGAGAGAGAGAGAGAGACTGCCTCACCCTGGTTCACGTCTCTACACCTTACTTCCGCTGGCTTGCTCTAATTAACCCGGAGGTGAGGTGAGGAGAGGAGAGGAGAGGTGAGGGGGAGGGGAGGGAGAGGGAGAGAGAGGAAGGTTGAGAGGAAGAGAGATGCGAGGGAGAGCAGGAGGAGAGGGAAGCAGAGGGAGGGAGTGGAAGGGTGAGGGGAGAAGAGGAAGAGGAGAAGAGGGAAGTTCAAGTGTCATTGAGATATTTATTTTAAGGTGGTAGTAGTAGTAGTAGTAGTAGTAGTAGTAGTTGTTGTAGTAGTAGTAGTAGTAGTAGTAGTTGTTGTTGTTGTAGTAGTAGTAGTAGTAGTAGTAGTAGTAGTCTTGTTTCAATATAAAGTCAAACCATACATTTGTGTTATGGTTTCTTGTCAATTGTTGTGTTTTTCTCACTAAGGCTCGTCTAAATTGAGGTAATACCCCCCCCCCTGTATATTTTAGTTTTGTACGTAGGTCTCTCGTCATTTTTATAGGTTTTAAATTATAATGTTCTTTTAAAAATTTTGCGGAAGGTAAATTTTAGAATAATGTTCCGTTTTTATTGCATATTACCTGTAATTTTTTTTTTTTTACTTTTTGGTTGTTTTTTACAGTAGGCTGTGATGATGGTAAATGATTTTCAGAAACGTTAGTGATTAAAGAAACCCAACTTAGTCAAGATGTTTGTGTTTTCCCTGGTTCTCCTCTTTGTTATGTTATATACATGCAATTTTTCCTCTCCTTCCTCTTCTTCACCCCTTCCCTACCTCCCCTTCATCCCTTCCCTACCTCCCCTTCACCCCTTCCCTACCTCCCCATCACC